GTCTGGGGGGGGGGGGGATGCCTTTGTGTTATCCCTTATTTGTTAGTTTTATATACATTTCCAGCATAGCCCAAGAATTAATAACGTACCAAAAAAAGTGTTTTTTTGTTTGTTTCGTACACCAAAGTGGTGTTTCCATTAAATACCCAAGTTAAAAAAAAAAAAAAGGTTTAACTGGCTTTTGGGGGTTGGACAACAAATTGGGAAAAACTAAACAAAAAAGGGTGATTTGCCAAAAGCTTCCTAGTTCATTCATCTATGGTTGAAAGTATAAAAGGGTCATCAGAGTCCATTCCCTTACATGTCTTGCATATCTTCGTCCATCTGAACATTCTGAAGCTTGACCAGCTCTTTTTTGTCACCGTCAAGTTCCTCGCAGCCGTGGTTGACCATACCACTTAGGATGTACTTGTTTTTTGCATCCAACAGCATGACGCTGCCACTAATAGTGGTGTTCTGGGACACGGGTAAGTAATTCTCTTTTGCCTCGGGGACGGGCTGCAGGACCAGATTGTGCTGGCTGTTGAAATCCTGATGGGCTTGAGGAACCGAGTGGCTGGTGTTATTATTGCTATTCGTGGAGAGGCGTAACCCTAGGTCTGAGTGTGCTGTAGAAACCGACAACAGGTCTTGGGTAGTGATGTAGTGACAGTTTGGAAGAGGTGCAAAGTTTGCGTTACTAGTGGGTGTGACACTGGTGGTGGTGGAGGCGACTGATGCTGAGATGGACTGGTTGACGGCTGACGGCTGATGCCCTGTAACAGAAGCGAGCTGCCCGGCTGCGGTTATTAAGGTAGTAGGAGCGAGGGCAAAATTGGGTGCGTTAGTTCCGTTTACTAATGAGGCGGCAACGGACTGCAAGGCGTCCTCTGAAGACATGCTAATGTTCACTTGTGCTGTGTTTTGATTGACAGGCATTAACGGAGAGAAGACAAGGCTGCGTTCCAGGCCGTCCTGTTTTATAGAATGAGGAACGGTGTACACCACTGTGCTGTGCGGCAGGGAGCTGAGGAACACTTTCCCTTGATCGCTGTTGGAGATCGTGTCGCTTGTAAACGTCCCTCCGTCGGAAGTACCGTGAGCAAGGGCAAGATTTCCTGCAAACACAAAAAGCAGCTGTTAGAAAAAAACACACAATGTGTACAATCTGCACCGCTTGAGAAAACAGGACAGGTTTCTTCTTCCTCTTCTATGAACAAAATGGCTGAAAGGAGCACTTAGCAGTATGTAAGTGTATCTAAAGCCAAAACTGGTAGAATGTTAAGGGGTTAGAACAACTGTCAAGTGTATTTGGTCTGTGTCCATATTAAGGAAATTCACACTCTCTACCTGTACTGGTGACTACTGTCCCCAGAAAGGAAAGTGAGGGAAACTCCAACATTCTGAGTTGTCACAAGAATAGGAATAAAGGAGAGTTTTCCAATGGTCCTGTGACAACTGACTGTCTAAGAGCACATTTTCCTTTCACGTCCTGTCATGTCTACAGTGCAGGAAATAATAATATCTCACCAATGGGACAAAGATGGCAAAAACAAAATTCTGACAGGGACTTTAAAGCTGAACGCCAGGTATATATTTTTATGCATACTTACTTGCTCCAGCTTGGCCAAATGCCTATTTTATACTTTATTAGCCCACAAGGATCATGTTGTAAAGCACTGTAGTAGCCAGAGCTACTACAGTGCTTTACAACGATCTTAAAAGGTCCTGTATGGCGCTGTGCTGTGGTGAAAACAGAGTATTTTATCAATGAAAACAAGGAGTATTCTGATTGGATGAGGGGTGGATTGCGATGCTACCATCCCTCATCTGATCAGAGAACACCTTATATTGATTGATATATATCTCGGAATAATCCGCTGTCCCGAGCAAGCAACCCGCTGTGCTTTCAGAGCAGAGTGGAAGCCCCTTAGGACAGCACCACAGAGGACCTGGCAGATTGCTGTAAGCACTGTAGTAGCTCTGGCTACTACAGTGCTATACGGAATCCCTATGGGTCCATCAGGTATAAAATATGCATATGGGGCAAACTGGACCAATGTAAATATGCAGAAAAAAGTATACCTGGAGTTCAGCTTTAACTTTTCCCTACTTTATCCAAAATTAAGAAAAAGAAAAAGAAAAAAAAAGATCGCTTTAGGGCAAGGCCTGAAAAGTCTGATGTACTTTATTTTAGAAGAAATCTGCACTGGCAACATCCATGCTTCAATTATAACAGGGGTTTCCTTTATTCTTTCACTAGGCTGACTTCAGTAGGCTGAAATCTGATTGGTCGCCGTGAGTTACTGCACTTTCTACATCTGTTTTGCCATCTGCACTGCGTTACTGCTTGTGTACCTGCTTTTATTTTGTACGTAAACCTCTTTGTTAAACTAAAAGCAAATGGTTACGGATTTAAAGGAAATGAGTGCAGACAGCCATATGAAGGCTGCCATTGCCGACCTGTCTTCCTGAAAATGCCAGTTGTTTGGCTTTAATACTGATTCTTTATTTTGATACTGACCCAGAACAAGTATGCACATCAGGAGTTCTGAGTGGCTATGTGCTCATCTTGGGTCATTCACTTCAAAAGTATTAAATCAATATTTATATATATATCCAAGTAATCAGCATTGTCAGAACGTCGTCACCAATGGAAGCTCCGGTATTTCCCTTAGCATAAGTTTCCTTTAAAGGAGAACTATGAGGTGAGTGAAAATCACTCAGCCTCATAGTTCAAGCCATTTCAGTTTCATTGTCACACGTCAGCTCGGGAAGTGAGCGAACACATACCATCGCTCGCTCACTTCCCTGCAGAGAGCCGTGACTGTCAGTCACTGCACCCCGCAGGGATCCCCCCACCTCCCCGCTCCGATCCTCCAGCGCTGACTGGAGGAATGGACGGGGAAGGGGGCGGGCAAGGCTGGCTCTGCCTCTAGATAGGCAGAGCCGCTGTCATTCACGCAGCTGGTTGGATCTCGACAGTATTGTCGGGGTCCGTCCCGGCTGCGGCGGTCTCAGTATACCGTGAGCTGTAGCTCGCAATATACTGAGCTTTGGGTCACGGGAGGGGGCTAGTATATGTCCTCCTGTGACCCTTAAGAGAACTATGGGGGAAAACACTGACCCCCATAGTTCTCTTTTAATAAGGCTTAATGACAATGATACCAGTAATTATAATCATATTATTCCAAGTCTGGGGTCTGCTCATTTACATGAGTTTCTTGTTCTCTTTATTCTGGAAGACAAATCATACAGATCATTTGGTTACAACACTGTGCAGTGGGCATTACAATCTAAACTTGCAAATACTGACTTCTGATTAAAGCACATTATCACTGCAATGCTTCTGTCCTTTTGCCCTCCAGTAAATGAAAATAGTCAGAATAGAAACACAGCACAGTCAAATATTTTACGGTGTCCTTACCAAAACACCACACGAAGGAGCCAGGTACATGTCCACCTAACAGTTCAGCTTAAGAACAGTGTTGATACTCATATCTCACAATGCACTCCTTGTGCAGCAGGTATCTTATCTCAGCAGTTGTTGAGCGGCGAACATGAGCAATTGCACTGGAACACTAAGAGCTCCCTCTATTGGCTAATCTAAAAAAAGCTCTACATTTAATACAACAGACACATGAAAGAGCAAGTGTGTCCAGCCTTGAGACACAGCTCCAAAGTAGTCTACGGGAGCTACTGTGCAATCATGACCAGTGCAAAGGAGACTTTGAAACAGGACAAGGCCATGGCTGCCCAATAAAGGTAAGTATGCATCTGGGCAGGATGGGGTGTTTTAGGTCAGGGACAAAAACAAGTGCTGTTATCCTGGTATGAGCCGGTCAGCTCCCACATCTTACTGTTGGCTTAGGATTCTTAGCTTATCCATATTTTTTGCTTTAAACAGAAACTATAGTGCTTTGGGGACACAGATGCATATAAATATTTACAACTTTAAACTTGTATTCTGTATCTTTACTCATAAAAAAGAAAGTTTTACACACATTTAATACAGGGGATTATGTGTTCTTCAATGAGAGCACAGCAGAAGCTGTTTGCACTCAGGATCTCTAATTGAACAGAGCCAAATAATAAAACAAATAGGCAGAAGGGGGCCCTGACTACAGGAACCCCTGACCTCATCCAGTCTTCAATAACCAGATTGGGAGGTGTCATTTAATGTCTATGGGCACATTTAGCAGGTGGCACTGTGGTTTTATTTCTCCTATCCTTATTAGTATGACCGCATTGAGACCTTTGGTGCACTCCTGACTTTGGCATCTTTTTCTGTGGCTCCATGCCTGAAATACGGTACATATCAGGGCTACAATAGCCAATTAACCAGGGTCTGCAATAGAAGGCTGCAGTTAGTATCTGTGTCTTGTTCTAAGGCCACTGAGATAATTACCCTACGAGCAGGTCTTGGAGTGTGGAGGGAAACCCACGCAAGCACAGGAAGAACACGCAAAGCTAAGCACTAAAGCTTAGATTTTTGGCCTCCATCACTGTTTGGTCAATCATTTTCTGCCGGACTCCACTGAGATTAAAGGATGTCAGGCGCAAGGCTGCTGACAGGGGCCACCCACTGACAAAATATTAACCAGGTCATCAAGAACCATCCAAAATTCAGTCAGTCAGTGTATGGCCAACTTTAGCCACCATGCTGTGCAGTTTTGTTTAGCAAAGTTTCTCTTTGGAGTATCTTGAAGGGTTTTTTTTTCATACTATGAAGGGAATTTATCAACACTGGAGCAGACAATTCTGGACCTGCTGCCCATGTAAACCAATCAGCTTCTCTTCAGTTTGTTCAGCTAAGATTTGAAAATTAAAAAAGGTAGAAGCTGATTGGTTAGCAGGCACAGCTGCTCCAGATTTTGTCTGCTCCAGTTTTCATAAATGCTCCTCTATGTCTTACAAGCCCAACATTTTTTTTTTCTTTTTAAGTAATACATCGCTATTTCTAGGTACAGAAAAAGCATTTTGCAAAATAGTATTGCTACACCACATACATGCTCAATAACTGTTCAAGGACATTTAAATTTCACATAGAGCACATAAAGAAATGTAATTGCAAATGCCAAATAAATATCTTAAATAAAAATGGAAAACCAGACCCGTGTGATGTGATTTCTTGTAATATTAGGCACTCATAATGCAAGTATTATATTGCACTAGCCAGTTTAAAGGGTGAATTACACAGATCTTAGGATCTGTGTCTAATAATACATACAACCCCCTTTAGATCTGCCAACTATCTACAGTGAGGGCCTATGTGATATATATTGTATTTAGATAGGCCAATGGACTTAACAGTTTTTGGTACATCTAATGGAGAGTGTATATAGACTATAGAATCAGATTGTAATAGGTGTGCCTAGCCTAAAGTAAACCTATCATTGTGCCATTCAGGGCCCTCTTGATAAGACACCCCTCCCATCAGGTGGTCCTTAAAGTGGCACTACCTCTCCGACAGCCAGCCGCTTCACAGCTCCCCATCTGCTACAGGTATGCGACCGATCAGATGGGTCAACCACCTGCCCCCCCCCTATTCATTCTGGAGTAGAGGACATCCACTCTGCAGGCTCAAAGATCCCTACTCACAACACAAAGAAACCTTGAGGGCTAGTTCACACCAGCCTCAGTGCGTTCTGGCCCGATTTTGGCCAGAATGCACTGGATTACGGCGATCTCACTTTGTTTTTGGCGCGGGAGGGGGTGTGGCAGGGCATTGAACTCAATGGCACCCAGCCACACCCTCCGGCAGCAATGTGGTCGGCTGCACGGGAACGTGTGGCACATCAGTCCCTGCGTTCCAGTGCAGTCAGAAAAAATTGTGCGTGTGCTCTCCATCTTGACTCCTTCAACTTTCACAGGATGCTGAGCAGTGTGGGAAGGAGAGAAATCATGGATGCAAATTCAAAAAAGAAGGTTCCCCAAACAAAGAAATCCCTATATTGATGGAACAATTTTTTGGCCATAATATGGTACCTTCTGCATTTTGCTCAAAGTACCATTTTTGGACGATATGTTCTGGCGGACAAAATTTCGGTGCATCCCTACTAGCAATATAGCCGCTTTATAGCTGAAATCCAGACAGATATCAAAATCACCAATAAAC